TTTTTTTTTTTTTTTTTTTTTTTTCGCCACGATTGGTCCCGAAATCTAGTAACTGCGGTTTAGTAAACGCGAACGATGAGAAATTTTGAACGGGTCAGAGTCAGGTTTCTGGACACGAGCGAACGATCCCCCTGTATATTCGAAACGTGCTCCAACACTGTTCGCTTTTTGGTTTACCGTTTGTGACTTCTCGCTCCCGCTTTTCGCCGCCAAATTGCCCCGAAAATGGAAATTGAAACCCGTCCTTCTTTTCCTTTATTCGCCTATATCTAAGGATATATTTTTTATTTCATTTCTCAAAATTACCGATCTTTTATATCTTTTATTCATTTATCGTCGTCCATTTAATGGCTTGTAATTGTGTAAATAAAACGAAATTTTCTTGCGCACAGAATGACAAATGCAACCCCCCTCTTCACATATAAACGATCGAACCAAACATCTCGGATACAACGTTTCTTGAAAAAATTGGAAATGGGGTTAGTTGATCACGATGACGCGTGGAGAAAGGATTTAAGATTTTTTGCAACTATTTTATCCTGCTGAAAGTGTATATGGTATATCGAAATTGATGCAGAAAGAGATGACAAAAAAAAAAAAAAGAAAGAGAAGACTTTATCAGGCACCTTGGTCACGGTAAATTCGATAATAAGGTGTAACGTTTTAGCGACACTGTGAAAGAAGGTGTGGAGGGGAAGGGTTTGGGATGAGAGCGTTAGCCGGTGTCTAACAGGATAGAATTTTAAAGCGGTGGATGGTCGAGGTGGGAAAGTTTTCAAGAAAATTGGAAGCTCATAGCTCGGAAACTGTTCCATCCCCGTGTAAATTATCGGACTCGAAGGATTAAACCAGGTCCAGAAGTTGGGGGAAATTTATCGATGCGCACAGCCGCCAAAGAATAACCGAACGAGTTTCTCTTGATTCATCCTCGTTGAAACGAATTTATCGCGCGTCACGATATTTGCAGTTTCAGCGGCCACGCGGAAGGAATCTTGTCCGAAACTTGTCCAACTGGAAGGGAGAATTCTTCAAAGTTATATGGATATAAAAAATCCGAAAAATTT